GGTCTAGGCTTTAGGGGTTTCGACTCTCACACTCGCACCAGGCAGGCAAGGCTTTAGGGGTTTAGGGTTTAGGGGTTTAGGGTTTGGAGCCTTAGGGTTTGACTCCAAGTGGGCCGTCAAATGTGGGCGTCCGAGGTAATACAGGAAGGACCCTAAATTTTCTTAAATCATACCCCAAACAAAATAGGTCCTTGAAACTTAAATCCACAATTTGTGAACCTTGTTTTGGAATTCCATCCGCGATTGAGGATTTCGCAATGTCACTTCGGTGATAGAAGCCTCAGTGCATTCAACCAACATGGTCAGAAAGCGCATTCACGACCTTCTCGCGAATTCGTAAGCAGGATTTGGTTGGGTGTATGAAAACAGTACCCAAGTTGGGTCATGTGAAAAAAACATGGTTTAAAGTGTTCACTGCTTCCCCTGAGCCTCTCAAGTTAGCTCTTGGGATCTGCTTGAGAGGCTTGAAGAGTCGACACTGATAGTGAAGTGGCGATGTCGAAGTGTCGAAGAGTTCTCAAGAACCCCGAGAGGAGTGGCACTAGAAACGCCAATTTGAAGGCTTTGCGCAATGAACCGCAGAAGAACAACTAAGACAATCCTGCCATTCGCTGGCTCACAGGCCTACCAGAACCGAATGCCGAACCTGCACGACAAAGCCTTCGACCCCAATTCTTGAATCCCACAGGCAACCGCACATCTTGGCATCCAAGGCACGATGCTGAAGATCCAAAGCCATGATGCGGCGTTCACGTAGCCGACTTCCTACGAACAAAGCAAGACTAAACTGATTAAACAGACTACCTCTACACCCCGATGCCGACGCGTGAGGCAGCCTAACGCCGCGCACGCCAAACTCCCAACCTTCTTAGATTCTTGCGACATCAAGACGGTGTGGATGGCTTTATGAAGAAGGAACACCGTTGCGGCTAGTACTGGAACGGGATCGCACTACAATCGGCAGCTCACGAGAAATTGAAACGTAGAACAGTTCCACCATATCCCATGCCGTATGGCTTATGCTCAACTAATGCTCTCAACACCGTCCTTGAACTCAGACTCTGTCGATCAGCTGGGAAGCACTCTAAACTCCGTCAACCCCAAACCCACAAGCAAACAACAGCATCACCCCCCATGACGTTCTCGTCAGATGTCAAGCTTTGAGCTAGGAATTAAAGCGTATTGAACTCGAACATCCCACAAGAAGGGGTTTAGGGTTTATAGGGTCATAACCTCAAAAAGCTGAGACGTTGGCTGGTTTTATCATGTCATAGTAGGAGTTTCACCGCCCTGGGAGGTTGAAATATGCCTACTGGTAGCGTGACTAGGGCCTTGAGGGCTTGCCAATCGAAGTGGCCCAACCTGAGCAGGGTGGGTTCTAGCGTTTAGGGCTTAAAGGGGTGGGTTGAGTTCTGGCTATGACTGCTTTCCTTGGTTGGGCTCTTGTACGCAGCCCAGAATTTAGGGTCCTCTGTTCAGGGCACAGGGTGTTGGATGAGTTGAGAAGAAGAGGTGGAAGTATCTTTGGCCCGATGCATAAGCTTCATGGTTCAGCCCGTTGCAGCAGAATGTGTGTTCACGGGTTCGTGGTTTGGGGAGCATTCGATGTTGAAGGTTTAAGTAATCCGACAGGGTCTTGCGTTAAGCATACTCAGTCACCACAGCACAACGAGGGCTCGTGTTACTAACGTAAGCCTCCAGATAACAGCCGGAACCTATGTGCCAAAAGCACTCCTCTGCATCAGTGAGGACAGGCCTCATAGGGTTACAGGCCGAAAGTTGCCCTGTTGACTACGAGACCCTGCGGTTTATTCTGGAGTCATGGGTTCTAGGATGCCTCAGCAAAGAGCAGTGGGTTTCTGAGCCAGTTTCTTTATGTCCAAAACCCGGGGATCCGAACAAGCTGAGGTCCCTTGATACACTTTGGAGTCCGATACGCCAAAGGCCTGGGAGCTCCCTGAGATCCCACGCAGAATACGCCGACAAGGCTGCTGAGGAGCAAGTCTGACCTACCCATAGGCTCCTAAGTAGTTCCTGTTACGGTTTATATTCAGAATCCTATAAGGTATTCCCAAAAAGGAACTAGTTAGGGGCCTATGGGTAAAACCTAAATTCCGTAAATGCTGAAAACTAAAACTGCTATACCGAAGACCAGGGTTCAAGCCCGGAAGCACAGCCGCGAGGCACCAGTGAAAGGCTCGTGGAATTGTGCCTGATATCTATCTATCTACATATATTTATATATATAGAAGTTATGTACAGCTGTGTTCAACACAGGAGCCTGAGCAAATATCTGGCTGGCGTCGGTGAAAGTTTCGCTGTCTTAGCAGATCAACAATTACTCAAAGTCTAAGCAGATACCATCATCCACCACTGCACATGCGCATGTAACCAACAGACAAACTGCCTGCAAAAAGCATATGCATGCGTAACTAGTTAGCTATGTTTGTAATATCTATGTATTACTACTTTACTTCATTTTATGCACATACACACACACACACACACGCGCGCACACGTACGCCTACACACATACACTCACTCACCCACTCACTCACTCACTCACTCACTCACTCACTCACTCACTCACTCACTCACTTGCTCACTCACGCACTCACACACACACACACGCACACACACACACACACCTGAATACACGATTCTGATGTGCTCATGCCTTTTTCCTATTTCGACTTTTAGCCTTGGGCCCGTCCAAGCTGAGGATTTCTCGGGAGCGGTCATGGATGGGCCGCTAAAGTGCCTTCTCAAGGGTTCGTAACAAAGGGGTTTATAGGTTCCACAATCCGGCCTTTGTAGACGTGCTATGGGCCCTTACGAATATGGAAAGCCTTCCCCTAAAAAGGGATCTGTAAGCGTTACTACTCGTGTTTCGTCTAGGGGCCCAGAAATTCAAATAGTATAGGGTTTGGGGTATTAGTATTGATTCCCAACCCTATATTCGGGTTTGGGCTTCCTCTAGTCTAGGGATTCTTTGAAGAGTCCGAAGAGTCCTCGGACGCTCTGTAAGGGCCCCGGGTTTGAGGGTTTGCCGGTTTAAGGCTTAAGAATTGAAGGCCTTCGGTTTCAGGGGCCCCTACCTCGGTTGAGGGTTTGGTGGGGTTTAGGGTTTAAGGTCTAGGGTTTAAGGTTTGGGGTGTAGGAGTTTTCGAGTATTGCCTTAACCACTAACCCTGCTAAACCCTGCACGACCCGCCAAAGCCTGGCGAAACTGTTATGAACCGAAAACCACCAGAATATCCTGAATCTACATTAACCCGAAGTTCAGAGCCACCTACACGTTGACCTTATAAAGCCTCAAGAGAAGAAACCCAAAACAAAAACTGTGACTTGATTCCTGCCCAGAGACTGAAGGCTTCCAAATCCTGACCGAAGAAGACAATGCTGTTCACCTCGGGCTCTAGGGCATTTAAGGATATATATATATATATTCTCTTTTTTTTTACCGGGCCTTCTTCCGCCTTGCATTTAGGGTTTAAGGCCTGGGGTTTTGATAGGGACATGCAGTTTTGGTCTCAAGGAGAAGTCTGAACCTGCTTCGTGCAAGGCTAAAAAGCTAAATGCCTGAGTTGTCGTTTAGGGGTGTCTCAAGGGGACCACGGGAAGCACACGCGCCTGATGGTTGGCCATGCTTTTCTATGATGGGACCTTCATTCTTGTAGCCGTTGTTGGGATTTGAAAAGCTTTCGGGCTTGAGACTTACGCGATCCCTTGACGCCTTAATGAAGAAATAAACCACAAATGAGAGTACCAGATCTTGAAGTTAAGGGGTTCAGGGTTTAGGGGTACAGGGTTTAGGGTTATATAGGGTTTAGGGGTATAGGTTTAGGGTTTGGGGAATTGAACCAGACACGCCAGACTGTGTTCAAGCGGTACCAACACACACAACTCGGTGCACACAGGTGCAGCTACGAGGCCTACGAGAACCATGTATACCTTTCCCCCTCCCTATCGTGTGCAGAATCTCGATACATATAGACCAAAGATGCTCAGGTGTGTGTATTTATGAAATATAGCATAATAAAGAACATAACACAACATCTTGTGATAATAACCCCTTCCCCCTAACATTAAGCCCCCCTAACATAAGAACCTCGCGGTCCGAAGATTTCGCGGTTTCGGTTGTATTACTTTTAATAGAGCCAAGATTACAGCAGTACGAATCAAAGCGAAAGGACCAGAGCTTTGGGGTTTAGGGGCTTAGGGCTTGGAGCTTAAGGTTTAGGGCTTAGGGCTTTAGGGCTCAAGGTTTAGGGCTTCATCAGCGCCTCAAATAGGTATGGAGGCTACAAGCTTAGGATAACTTTCAGCTAAGAGTCGAGCCAGTTTCAATATTGGGCGGGGGCGTTGTTTGGGAAATGACGGTGCGGATCATTCGCGACTTTAGGCTAGGGTTTAGTTGGCTTTAGTTGGTTTAATTAAGAGGTTTAAGGCTAGGATAACTAGCAGCCTGACTGTCTGCTACAGCCGGAACGGCTGCGTGATGGATGGTCTTTGTGCCTGGCTCACTATTCCTGTCAATCCGACACATACGCGGATGCGTCGAAGCCCCCCCCAATATAAAAACCAAACCACCGGAAATCAGCTTTTATATTGGGGGACGGTTTTAATTAGGGGAAAGGGATAAGTGTAACATGGCAAAACAAGACAACTACAACATAACATGATGTAACAAAACCCAATAAAAATATGATATGATATAACACAATGGACATGCAGACAACTAGAGCTATCCCGAGGTAGAGCCAAAACAGACAGATAGACAGACAGAAAGACAAACAAACGGAAAGAGTGCATGGAGCATGTAATACTCATCCGGATTGTTGGTTCAAACATGTGTTCAGCTAAAGCAGGCCATGCCCGGAAAGGGGCAAGCTCTAAACCAATACCTTTAGGCTCCCCCCGAAAAAAAATGAATCCTCCACAGTATATGCTGCCGCCGGAAACCGACAGCATCAACCCATAAAGTGGCGCCCAGCTGCAAAGAGGCATCCGAACATGCAAAGGGCCACGATGAAGAAGTGGGCCAGCTCTGGAATGGCAGTCTTTATAGTCTCCTGGAGAAACACATAGGAGATTGAGACGACACACGACGAAACCCTGTCACATTGGCACCAAACTCTTGAAAGTAGGGTCCTTGTGTTGAGCATCGCCTTGTTATTTTTTTTACCTCTGTCGTAAGAAGCTCTCGAATGGCGCAGTCCTCTCTGGGGTTCGGGATGTCAAGAGCTGAAGCTCATCCCAGACCCTACTCGGAGATTAGGGTTTACAGTTTTAGGGTCCTGAACCCTAAACCCTAAAATCCCGAGCCCTGTCTGTCCGTAACGATGGCCAACCGCGGCTGTGCCTGGAAGGACTTAAAGAGGCGAAGCATGATGACCTGAGATGGGTTGAGGGTTTTGGGGCTTAGGCGGCAGAATGGGCCTTGAGGTGCAGTGTTCTGCGGTTAGGGCTTGGAGGCTTCGGAGCTTTTTGGGTTTGGCGCTTGGGTTTAGGGGTCTATGGCTTAGGGATTTGAAATCATCAGCGGCAGGTCTACATGGAATCGGGGCATTGAGGATGATGTGGAGGGTTCAGGGTCAGGGCTTAAAGATACGTTTTTCAATGCCTGTTGAGACGTTCTGGGCTTTAGGGCTTCCGCGAGTTTGAGAAATTACGTCGCAAGCGAAAGATTCTTAGCTCTGGGATCACGTGCAAACAAGCTCGAGGCTTATAAGGCACGAGGGTTTTCTGTAGGTTTCTGGCCAAGGGCGCAGGGGTGTGTAATGTCATAAAATATCAAAGCTACTAATACCTTACTTCAGCCCCCCAACATGTTCAGTCAGGAAAAGGCGGTGGATAATAGGAAAAATATAGTATTAAGATGTGTTTCGGTGTATTTCTCAATCGAGGGCTTCGCTCCGGCATGCTCTGTCAAGGCCCGAAAGACCCACAATCCTGTACACGCCCTAAACCCTCTTGTACCTGGAGCTGGCGTATTGGTTCCATGTCTGCGCAGAGAAGGAACAGAGCACTCTTAGGGGTCAGGGCTTAGGTCTTGGGAGACCTACTATATGGGTAGTTCAGTAAGTAGGGTCTCTGTTTTGGGTTCCCATTTTCGTTCGGCACCCTTATCAGAAGGACCCTGAAAGGGACCCTAATTTAGAGAACTACCCCTGTGGTCTGGCATCTGAGATCTTCACGACTGTGTCTCTAAGAAGTCGGCGCTTTACGAAAGTATGCTTGTGGCTTATAGAATGTCGTCTGCAGCTGATCGGCCAAGGGGTAGAGAATGATGGTCACCTGGGATGGTAGATCTTCGAGCATTCCATGAAATCCTAAGCCCTAAACCCAAAGCACTAAATCTTTTCGAAAGCAGCCTCGAAACATCCAATGTTATCTAACAAAAGGGCCGGAATAGTCAGGCTGAGAAGTACATTTACTATGTGGTCGAACATCGGGCCAATGCTCCGCCTGCCAGCATTGGGCCCAATTCGGCTTCATCTCGGTAGGATGAGGGACTAAATGAATCGAGTAAGGCTGTTCTGCGAATCCGATGACCTAAAAAATCGGGTCGAGTGCTAGGGGCCAGTAATATCACATGTTTTTCGTCTTCCAATAGGATCGAATTTCATCAAGGGGAAGACCTGCGCAGCTTTTGCGATCAGAGGAGACATGGCCATGTCTGCTCAAGTTGACTAGTATACTCACACAGGCCCTGCACACACGAAGCACGATTCCACCAGATCCCCTTCTCCTGTACTTCTACATAAACATGCCCAAGCAGCCCAAGCAGACTAGTCAATTTAACTGCAACTTGCCTTTGGGCTTCAACTCGCGCTTCAAGTATCCTGACCTGCACCCCAAACCCCGTATCCCGTAAGCCCAAACCCTTTACACCCAGCCCCGACTCGTGGTCCTAAATCCTAGACCCCAAACTTTCAGCGTCTAAACCCACCAAAATCTTGAGTGCGAAGCCTCCAAATCTGGATACCCTCATCCTGTAGCCCGGAGACCCCAGGGTTTAGGGTTAAGGTATATGCGTGTCAAGATGAGGGTGAGGGTTTTGGGTTGAAGAGTAGCTCCAGGGGTATATGGGGCATGTGAAGTCGATCGCTGAAGCGGCAGCTGGAGCGCCACTCACTGGACAGCTGTAGGAAATTACTTGTCCCACACATTTACATATCTCCCGTCTGTTCATAAGAAGGGCTCAAGTTGGCGCAAAGTTTCAGGGTTTCAGATGACCTGCAACAGTCAATGTGCATGTACCAACTTCAGGCCATCTGCACACATTGACATCGACATGAACATGGACATGCACATAACTATATACATGTACATACACATATACATATACATCCGCGTGCA